CGTGGCAAGACATTGCCATTTGAGCGGGGTTAAGCGGAGCTGTATCTCATTTTCTAGCACATAGACTGGCAAGCTCAAGCTCAAAGACCGGTTTGTCGATAGCTGACATGACTTGCAACTCAAGACGGCTTCTCAGCCAGGATGCTCCTTACCATGGCACTGAACATGTTCAGCATTCAAAAAGGTCTGCATGCTACCTGGCTCAGCCCGATTTTGCTCAATTTTGCAAAAGGATCAGATGAAACAATACGGTCGTGTTGAGAATTCGAAGCTGTCACAGCTTGGGCCTGGTATGGCCCGAACCTGACAAAGGCATGGAATCCAGCACATCTGGACCCCGTAGACGTGGGTCCAGACAGACGGCATAGTGCCATCCGCACCCTGCCGGACTGACAAACATCACGCTTGAAGGCTCGAAGCACCGGGTTGCATGATTGCTTATGAAACCTGATGTGCCCTCAACTCCCCCTAGCCTTTTTTCCAAAGGCAAAGCAAAGCAAATCCGACCCTGAACTCACCACCGACGTCTGCCCTCTTTCGGGCATCCCTTCTGGAAAGCTGCACGTCTCATCCATGGTCGGGACTTCTTGCCTTGGACACACCTGATCCCTCCGGGCCGCACGTCAATTTGATGACTGCGGTGCACCCCTAACTCGTTGAGCCTCTGCGCCTGAAGCCTCCCTCCCGGACATGGACACTGCATGTGAAACTTTCGGTGCACGGTGCTTGTGGGCTCACTGCACTTCAGCGTGATCAAACACCAAGAGCATCTCGCCGTACCATCTTTAAACACCCAGTTGTGCGTGGGCGAAATATCCTGAGCAGATTGGATAAGTTCCTGTTTCGTGGCCTTTCTAGGCCTTTCAAATTTCTTCAGCTCACAAGCTTTACTAGTCAGGTGAAATGTGACAGCTTGGTGCAACCAAGCTAACACGTCAGCCGTGCGCTGATCAACCCATTGAAGAACATCACCCCCAATGCCCATAGGCCCACTCAGCTCCTTAGCTCTGGAATCAGCTAATTTGTCAGCTTCTTGGTTTCCAAACCATTTCAATCGATCGTCATGGGAATACTGCAGGACAAAATCATCCTCAGTCAAGTGGCTTTTAATCTTGTGCAGTTGAATGGTGTTATGGCGCTGCTTTGCCAAAGCCAATCTGCCCCACAAATCCGGATTTTTGAATGTAAGGGGCACTAATCCCTCATGACCAAGCTTCCGGAAACGCTTCACCACATAACTGGCATCAACGACAACATGCAGTACACCTTCAGCATAGGTAGCCTCCAACGCGATCTGCAATGCCTTCGTTTCTGCTCTGGGCACTGTTTACGAGTACCCCGTACCGAGCAAGCTGAAGACAATGCTGCCCAACACAACATGCTCACCATCACGCTCAATGACTGCCAAAACTGACCCTGCACACCTTCTCTTTCTCGGGTCATTGCTGAAAGGTCCTTCACTACTGTCAGTGGCCAAAATGGCTCCTGATGGTACAGTAGTTCAACTGGCCACTCAGCAAGGAAAATTCCAGTGCATGCCAGCCGCTCGTCCAGTCATGTGGAACAAGCCCAAAATGCCAAAAACCCCATTCCTCATTGTTCCTGCAATGCAAAAGCCATTCAGGCTTTGGCTGGCCAATCTCAGCAATCAACTTGAGGCACTCCCACAACCAACGATGCAACAAGTCATCAACATTGCCACGCCTCTGAGAGTGCCTTGGAGAGTGGCATCAAGCAGGGGCAACTGTTTTGGTTGAGTTTTCTGTAGGCGAACACAGTATCTTCTGGCAACCACGCAATCAAAACCAGATTCCAAATATGGAGCACCAAAGGCATGGGCAACTACTTGGAACTGTTGTCGTTGAATCGTCCACTGCATCTCCTGCCACATGCAGCATATGCGATAAGGGTCCTCACAATCAACAAGCACAGTTTCCCCCAAGTCGTTGCGCCAACCATTTAGCCGACACACGTCCCAACGCAGATCCATCAACGTAGCAATCATGGCCCGAAAAGGTCCTTTAACATGCATCCAGGGATACTTAACACTTTTCAAAAACATCCATTCTTTTTGCCAGACCTTCTCCAGCACAGTTTTTTGATAGCGAGGCATGGCAGACTACCCCTAACCCCAGCCTAAACACTAAACCTGCATCCCATTACTTGGCTTCCTGCGGAAGCAGAGCTCACGTCATCCTTTGAAACATGCGGGCTAAAGAGGTGGACATGCAGAGGGTTTCTTCTTCGTACCTTGCGAAGAAAAGACGTCACGTCACCCTGAACTTGAACCCATGTTCATTCAGGGTCTGGGGCACAGTCTGCTCAGCCGAACGCGTTCCAATTCCTGTCTTCCTGTGCTCGGAGTGACAGATGGACTATATGGGAGCTTCCAGAAGTTGCTGGGGTTGCTCTTTGGGAGCTCCTGGAAGAAGGATTGCAATCAGAGCCTAGGCCCGGCTTTGGGTCCGCAAACGCTGCCAGACTCGGCGGAAAAAATTGGCAGGCCGCTCTGCATTCTCAGAGGCCTCACGGGCGTGGATGGAAAGCGCAGGCAATTTGCCCGCTTGTGAAGTTGGCCTTAGATGGGCGAACGCCAAAAAGATTTGATTTTGGAGGGCATGCGGCAAGCCTAATTTCCAACCTTGGACATCCAACAGCTTATCCACACGTATCCACGTGCTCAGAACGTATGACCTGAAGCTCGCATCTAAGGTGGTCTAAGCAATTCCCCACTTGCTTTGCCGACGAAGGGCTCCGTGTCTGCCTTCTTGGGAGACACTTCGACGCCTGCAAACTGGCCTTAGGGTCACATTCACGTGGCAGCATGTTGCAAAACTTTGATGGGGCCGGTCCACCTGTCACGACGCCGTCATCACCTGCACTGTCGCGGCTGGGCGCACGCACAGTCGCATCACCAGCGTCAGCATGAGTGTTATAAAAAACTTGGCACTCAGTGGACGAGGCATGAGCCACCTGCATCCCGGCCCGGCTCCGAATCGGCATCTGCAGTTGGAAGGCACGGCTCCTTCCAACGAGACAGCAGACATCAGCAGACGTGGCTTGAAATCTCCTTTTGCTACGGATAGGGGTCCAACATGGTCCAGCTCTCCCGATGCGTGAGGTTCCCAAAGGCCTTGACGAATAGCCGCATCCCCACACCGTTACGGCCACGGTCCTGCGCATCCCCTTTCGGCTCTTCTTCTGGCTGCTCCTCTGGAAGCTCCTTGGAGAGTCGTGCACCGTGATGTGATTGGTGCTTTCATGAGCTCGTGAAACAAGCATCTCCGGGCTGCATCATTTTCGTATATCTCCCTGGCTCTAAGGAAAAGGTACGTAGCATGAGTCATCTGAACAGGGTTTTACAAACAGCCTGTAGCAGCCCCCACAACGAAAGGTTGTGATGCAAGGACACCTCACACAAGAACTGCCATGGGCCATGGGCTCCCCGCGTTCGAGACAGGCGCACGCAACCCCTGCAAGCGCTGCAAATGCTACATTGTTTCAGGTCCCATGATCTCAGCTCCATTCTCCAAGTACCTTGAACGATTGGTGTCATGGGTCCTCACAGCCACTCCCATAGCCCTGACTGTGCATCTTGGTGCTACTTCTCACCCTTTTGTTGGTTTCAGCTTGTTCCTGCACTGCAACTGAATACACGACAACCACCCGGGCCTCCTTGCAGGTGGCTGCTCCTTCTCTGGGTCTCAGGAGCGCAGGCTTTCACGCGGCTTTGATTTGAAGACTTTCTGCGCTTGCCGAAGGGCACAACGCATGACGCGCCAGTCAGGCCGCACTTTGAGTGATAGGGAGTGGTGGTTGCGACGTCGAAACCCAGCATCCAAGAACGACGACTAAGCTTTTTGCTACAACACTCAAAGTCCCACCCTATGGCTTCTTGCACAAGAAACAAAGGGCTTCCTTCCGGAGGCTATCTAAGCACGTAAAACCCCAAGACACAAGATGAAGTGTCTCTGGGAAAAATTCAGAACAATTGGCTGCTACGATTTCCCACAGTATTGAACACGATCTTGCCCCTGCACTACGACTGATGACTCAACAGCCATCCTGGCCTCGTAGACCGCAAACTTTGCGGAAGGTGGCTCCTCGTCCTTTTCTGGCCCCTGGCACTTAGACTTTAGCTTTTCTATGTCCAAGATGCAAGCTGAAGTGTCTCTGAGAAACGGCTGGAACGATTTGTCGCCACGATGTTTCTCACTGATTCAGCTGGCCTTAACCAGGTCCCTGAAATACGATTCACGCGTATAACCGGCTATGGACATCCGTGCATGGACACCTAGCAGGGGCCCAAATAGATTCTGACCAAACCGCAAAGGAGTCCATAAAGCGGGAAGCGCCAAGACCCTCAACCCCGCTTCTTTGGCTCCACAATTCTGTGGGGCAACCCTGCGGCCTGCCTCCACCAATGAAGGCTCTGCAGCTTTCAGGGCCGGCTCCTAAAAACAGCGTGAAAATGAGGCCAGGGGCGTGGTTGGAACACCTTTGGCTCTGGCTGTGGCACGCAGGACCTGGAGGACTTCACATGCGGGCTCCTCGAACAGAGGCTGCGACGCGGCGGCCAGCTGATCACCAGGGCGGCCCGTACGGCGGCAGCCGCAGCAAAGAAGCTCTTGGAAACAATGCTCGAAACTAAGCATTCTGCCTCCTCGTGTTGGGCTACACTCGAGCCGAGAAGCTGCAACAGGGCCCGAACTTTGGAAAGGATTGGAAACCCATCTCGTGATGCCTTTTCATCCTTTTGTCGGGGGGGCGCCTGACGCTGTGGGATCAATGGAAACTGGGCAATTTTGTGGTAGCACGTTACCGCCAGTGGGGGATCCTGGATCCGATTTGCTGACGAGTACATGAAGCAATCATGTTTCAAATGCCGAACCCAGATCACCAAGCTCTACAATCCCCAGATGTGCAGCGAAACCCCGAAAGTATCTTGAGTGATGAGATGTCTATCGCATCATGCCTTTGAAGCCCAGGCTACCCAGCACTCACTTCGTGAACATCACCCAATATGTGGCGACACATGAATCCAGCCCGCCTCTTGAGTTGGCACTGTCTCTTGGATTTCTGCTACGTATTTCAGAGCCCCTCACCTGTGTGTAGACATGTACAGTCATAGGTGGGCACTTGTTGGCAATCACAAGCTTCTCTTCGAACACGTAGCCAGCAATTCTGATGACTTCCATCCGATCCTCGTTGCTCAGGGTTTATGGCTCTTGGAGAACTTGGGACTTAGGATATGATCCTGAACAGTCCACTGATGCCTGTCCCTGCAACATCCTGCAGATTCTCATGTAGAATGACCACAGGCATTGAGCAGAGCCGCTCCCTTTTCAGTCCCTAAATACTCTTACCCCAAACTCCATAACCCCAAGCCCACAACTCTAGATGGCCAAACCAGCCCCTAACTCCGCAAAACTCATAACCCTGACACCGAGCACAGGACCAGCAATGGCGTTGGGATGGTCTCCAGGACGTTGGCCGTGCTAAGGAAAAGGATGTTGGACAGGTCCACAGGAACCTGCTTCAAGTTCCTTTTGGGGGCCTCATATTGAAGCCCCGGTTACTCGGTAGGGATGAGAAAGCCATGTTAGGTGCAGAAGCTCCTTCGACGGTCATGAGCTCCAGCATTTTGACTCGTTCTGTGGCTTTTATCCTGCTATTCCAGGCATCATTGCTGGTGGTAGACCACCGCAGGTCTCAAATCTTTGGTATTCACGTTCTGGCTGGCTTCATATCTATGAGCAGTAATTAAGCGCGTTCCTTCGCTGCTGCCCTTTGTAGACATGGAGATCCAATCCCTGCTTCACCTCTGATACCTGGGTTCTGGGTTTTGGGTTTAGAGCTTAGGCAGTGCAATCCAAGCCGGAAGGTTGGAACATGTCTGCCCCTAGCCCCTAGTCATCATTTTCAAGCTCGCGAGTCCAAGTAGCGCACAGTATTTATGTGGAGCTCAACACAATCTACTATAGAGTGCTATAGAGGTACTGCTCTAAAAGCAGGGCCACCAAAAATGAAAGACTATATAGCCCTGAATACAGAACGATTTGGAAGCTTCTCAGGCCGCAATACCTTCACTCCCTAAACCTAGAAGCCATAATATCTCCCAAAGCCCTGCACCCTTGAAGCCATAAAGCCCTAAGCCCTAGAACTCTAAGGGCGGAACATCCAGGTAGTGGTCCCGGAAGCTGTTGTTTTGCTCTGGATCTAGGACTTCCAGGAGCGCCTAAGGGAGGTGGGCTGGATGAAATGGTAGTGAGGCAGTACGGAGCAGAGGTTGTAACGATAGGAGGGGAAACATGGCACCCTGGCGGGACATAAAGACGCTTCCTACAAGAACTTGCGCGGACAACTGAAATGCGCCTAATGTTTTTGCAGCACTCTAGCTCTAGGCTCCGCGGATTTCACCTAGGGTCCTGCACAGTTGGGAAGGAACTAGGCATGTTTGAGGTATGCACCTTTTACTTGTACTAGGGCTTAAGCATCTTATGCACTTGTACCACCAAAGTGGGGCCATAGCCTCATAGCCTCACACAGCTAGGGTGGATTCCAATGGGACCTTCTAAAATAGGGGGGCTCCTGAGCAGGAGTCTTGCACATGGGATTCTGCAAACGAACCCAAGGTTCCAAGAAGGTCTGTCCTAACTACATGCAGACCACTGGAGAGTCTGCCCCAAACCCCAACCTCAACCCCTAAAGGTTTCAGTTTATGTGACAGCAGACCAAGAGCCACACAGAGGAAGGATCTCCACGCATGTCACGGCCTTGAACTACAAGGTTGATTTAGGGCTTAAGGTTTAGGATTTCGTGTTTGCGGAACAGTGTTTCGGGTCTAGCCGATCCGGTTGAGAGTTCATGGACCATGAAGCGCATTCTGACGAGCGAGCCGCTCCCATTCTCACGGGTAGTTGAACAAAAGAGTGATGTTTTTGCAAGCGGGGAAACCACTTTGGACTGTGAAGAGGAGAATCTTCCATATTGCAAGAAAAGATAGATTACTAAATCGATGGGATGGGTGTCAAATCTCAGACCTCTTGCTCATAGATGCTTGACTCGCATAGGGCTCCTGGCGAAGCATGCTGCAGTAAAATCATCAGGTCCTTACGTACATAAAGTGATACCCTTGCCTGACCTATTCTTCACTTGGAGTAGCCACCCGGCATGATGGAGCTGCAATGTGTCTCATTCATATACTAACTTGGACAAACGAAAAATGTTTGACGGTCTCACTTGTTTGGCGTACAAATTTGAACCAAATAAAGGCTCTGGCTCAGCTGAGATCATGCCAACAGACGGATGAAAGTGAGTTCCCAGAGCATATATAGCCTGCTATAAGCTCAGCGGAACCCTCGGAGGAAAAAACTGTGAGAGACTTTTTGATCAGTCTACGGTCGAGGGAGAGCTTTGGGTTGGGGATTTAGGTTTTCGTGCATGCAAGGCTAGCCAATCGCATCTTTGGACTCAGACCAAATCATCCCTGCGAAATAAACCCTGATGCACACACGCCCTGGCTGCACTCCTGGTACCTGCCTCTTTCTTCGGACATTCTACTCACACATGGCGGACACCGGCCGAATAAGACCAAGGACTATGGGACATCTCCAGCGTAAATCTTTTCTGCTGAGGGTGTGCCAAGTTTGTCGATCTCGTCAATGAGCACCACCGGATTCGAGCAGCCAACGCTCTTCAGGCACCTTGGGAGCTTCCCTAAACTACATGTCGTTGAGAGCGTTCGCAAACTCAATGTCGTTCTGAAACTAAATGTCATTCCCCACAAGTGAGGCAGTTTGGCAAAATAACTTACCGCTCATAGAAGCCTAGCCATCGTTCGCTAAGTCAACACACCTTACAGGGTCGTCCTGTGCATGTGCAGGGCCCAAATCTTACAGCTGATCTGCATTTCCTGAGGTTCAACCGTGGTTGTTTAAGGCGCCTGCTTTGGGGGCTTCCCTCCCGTCAACTGATGGTGCTAGACCCAACACCCTAAACCCTAAACTGTACAAGAGCGCTTCTCAAAATGACGATCCCTTCACATGCCTTCCTAGTAAAGTAACGCTCCCATACAGCCGAAACCCTAAACCACAATTCGCTGATGGTGCTGGGATGGCTGAGGATGCTGCTGGATCAGCTTGCCGGGCATCGCACCCACCTAGAACTTGGAGCTCATGGGTAAACACCAGAGATCGGGCTGTCGGTGCGCAATCTGAGGATGTCAGGTAGAGCTTAGGGTTCAGAACACAGGGATCCTACGAGAATCCCACATACCGTTGCTGGTAGCAATCCTTCACAACCCTGGTTACCTCAAATCCCCGAATTTTCTGTCTGGATGATGAAATCGCTACACACTTGAAGACTCGGGGGGCCTCGTCAGGAATTAAGTAAGTAGGTTAACAATGGGGAGTAGTTGGCTTTAGTGGGTGGTTTGCACGGCTTATAAGTATGCTAACCAAATCCCCCTGAACCTCCAAGCAGGAACTCTAGGTGTTTAGGGTTCAGGGCCAGCTATTGGGACAAGCCTGCACAAATTGCCCTGGATACCCATTTTTCAGAAGGTTCTTGCTTGTCCTAAGCTGGGAGCTTGGCAAGATCAGGGCAACATATATACCCTCCCTAGAACAACCGTACTTCCTGACCCAAGGCCCCAAAATCCTACAAATTACGAAGCTACCAGCGAATCCTAAAGCAAAAATCCTCAAGCCTAAAACAAAACCTACATCCTAAACCCTAAAACCCAAACCCTAAACCTTACATCCCATACCCAGATGCTAAATCCCAAGCCCTCATCCCTAAACCTTTTGGTCCAAAAGCTTCGGCGCTCTCCCCCTCATGTTGCCTCGCTGCTTAAGCTTCAGCGAACCGGGAGGTCCAGCTGATGGATTTGGGATTTGAGAGGTCGTCAGGAATCTAATGGCTGTTGGCGCGTTTGGGGCCTGGGGCCGTCCTCTTTTGGGTACAAGATGGTGTTGGTTGGTAGGTTGTTCGTAGCCTGGACCTCCAAGCATTTGCCCACATTTGAGAGCAGAACTGCGCCGCAAACGCTGGAAATCTAAACAATCACCGCCATTGACATCTTGTCAACGAGTGATCGATGCACATCACGTGCTGGGACGCTTCCAACAAAATACGCCGACCATGAGCCAACTACAACTGCTGAAATGCTGAGCCCGAGGCCCACAGCCCCAGAATCAGATCTCTAGTCCAAAAGGGCATCGATGTTCTCGTCAATCCAGTGTGCCCGGGAAACCAAATAATTTGCAAGGTGTTCGGAAGCCTTTTTGAAGCTATGAGTGTCATCAGGCGCGCAGCAGCGCCAGAAGCCGCACCGATTTGTTCCTGAGGCTGTGGGCGGGCTTGTATACCCTTTTTGGCAAAGGTTTCTGAATATGCGCTGCTCCTCTCGCTTATGCTGCTGCTGTAACTCAGTTTGACACCTGCTACAACAAGGACTAATCCCTTCCCCCTAATATTAAACCCCCCTAATATTAAATATGGGTTCTCCAGAATTCCAAATTCTGAGATCTGCCGTCATTTTTAAAAGGGCCAAGACTAAAATTAATTGCGGCTCGGATCCTCTCAATTAGGAAGGGGTCCCTGGCGCGACTCTTAAGGCGTAGGGATCTCCTTGATTTCCTAGATTTTGATTGTTTTTGAATAGTGATTGTAAAGAAATTTATACTTAACATAACAATCTAAACAAATTCCAAGGCCCTAATTTGAAACAGTCCCTAATAAGGCCCTAATTTGAAATAGTCCCTGATAAGGCTCCAATTTGAAATAGTCCCTGATAAAGCCCTGATTTGAAATAGTCCCTAAGAGGCCCCTAATTTGAAATAGTCCCTAACAAGCCCCTAATTTGAAATAGTCCCTAATAAGGCCCTAATTTGAAGTATTCCCTAATAAGGCCCTACTTTGGAATAGTCCCTAATAAGGCCTAATTTGAAGTATTCTCTAATAAGGCCCTACTTTGGAATAGTCCCTGATAAGGCCGTAGTTTGATATAGTCCCTTATTTTATCCGATCTTACTCAGATTTCAATAGGACCCCATTGTAATTATGGTTTTTGTAATATTCGGGTCGTACGAGAAATGCACCCCCTAACATTAAATCGGAGCATTTACATTAGGGGAGGGCGGGGAGCCCTTTAATGTCAGGGGGAAAGGATTAGCGTTAAAGCTGGCACCGCCGCCACAGCCGCTACCTCACACGCACTGTAAAAACCACCACGTCCCCACCAGCGTGACCAGCCCACAACAACAACCCGAAACCACCATCACCGCAACCACTATTCCTGACACCAGAACATTTGCCACTCCTTTTTGCGATTACGGCTGCTACAGGTAGCCTCGTACTTCTACTGTGGCAATCGCTGCATGCCTTGTCTCATATTTGCATGGTCTGACTCCAACGTTGATGGAAGCCTGCCAAAGTGGATCCTGGCAGGAACAACCTCATAACAAGTCAGCTCCCCGGGTGGAAATCCGAGTGGCTTCTTACCATAAAGAAATCCAATGGAACCATCACTACGGATAATACTTGCAATACCCATACCAAAGCTAGTAAAGCAAAAAACGAGACGAGTAATACTAGCAATGCTAATACTGAAGCACTAGCCAAGACATCGTGGTGAGGTCAAGCGGCTACGCCAAATATCCAGATCGAGATTTGCGGCAGAGGAGATCTGCTTGCTTCTTCTCCTACAACGAACTTGCTCCCACTCAAGTTCCACACCCTCCCCCAGTCCAACATGGAACTCCAAATAGACTTTTTTTGAAGGGGCAGCCGTCTTTCAGGGCTCCATCTAGCTTGGGGGGGCCTCTTCATCGCAGCTTTTTGCTGCAGATTTAATTAATCGAGATGCTGATACATGCGATTCTCGTTTCGCTTATGTTACATTGGGACCTCATCTTAGCAAAAAGGCGTACGCGGGGCCGCCCAAAAAGGCCTCTAGAAGTTTCTGTCGAGGGACCCAGTCTGGCGGCTTTTGCTCCCTACATACTGCACGGGTGTCAAGAGCACGCCTCACTTCTATCATTATCATGACAAGAACTAGAAATATTAGGAAAGTTTGCGAACTTTAGTATTGTTCGACTGACTCTTACTATTATTGTTATTGGAGTTTGGCTCCTGACCATCGCCACGAGCATGGCATCCCCCAGCATGCGGCCTCTTGCAGCCTTCCAGGCTGTTGCAAAGGCGGCCTTCGGCAGGGATATTCATTGAAGATCGCTAGTACAAACAAAGCACCGTGAAAATGACAAATCTTTCCTAATATCTAGCAGCACTGTGCTGGAGCGGGATGGGATTGGTCACTGGTCACCGCACAGGGCCGTTTGGCTTAGGGAACAGTAAGGCTGAGCCTTCTTGCATGATAGAAACAAATAGTCACGAATTGTCTCAACCAGCTTCCAACATGTACCACATGTTCGGATAGCAGAAAGCTGCGCACAAGCTCCCAAAACCCACAAGTCACGCATCGAGTGCTACACCCAACAAACAGCAACAGAGCATCTTCCATCCTGAGGGCAAAAAAACTTCAGGCGATCCCCCCAACTCCCATCCCCAAAAGCCCCCAATTCAGCTGCAGCCTCGCCTTAAATCCTGGGTATCTCCATATGTTGAGAAAGAGCTGGCGCTTGTTGATGCCAAAACGCTTCACCTGAGTCAGCTGCATTCCTCAAAGTTCACTGGCTGCTGCTTGAGCTGAGGCTACGTGTGACTGAAGTGAAAAAGCATGCCGGGTGAAGATTGCCATCATCAACGAAACGTCCTACAGCAAGCTGTTCGATCCTATTCCTACACAGGGACTTTTTTGCCCTTCAACATAGATGACCTTCAGTTTGCCATAACTCCTGCACTCTATCAACTTTTGAGGAACTATCGGGCAAAATTGCCCAATTCAGCCCCGGAGCCTAAACCTTGAGCTCACGTTTTCCCACTAGTTTCTGCTTCTTTCACAACAAGTGCTGAACCCAGCAAACCTGGCTTACTGTAGCTATCCCAAAGTATCCCGTGAACTTGTAGGCTCAGCCTGGTTGCACTGCCACCAGGGATGCCCGAAGGCCCTATCCAGAGCGCATCCGAGCGGGCGTTCTCCACATTCCAGCCTACCCTGAATGGCATACTGGTGGTTAACAGGGAATGGGAAAACAGAATGGACCTACTATATCGTTCAGGGTTTTGGGCTTAGAGGTTTCGGCGGCTAGCAGGCAATGAAAGAAATACATTGACAAGGAAGTTGGGGGCTGAAATCGACCAAGCTGCTCAGAAAGAAGGACAACACTACTTTGCCGACTTCACATAACAAATATTGCAGGAAGACTAACAACGCTGAGAATAAGAAGAACAACATCAGCTGTGAAACATTCAATGACAGCATGAACCAGAATCACAACCACCATCTCGATACTAGCAGAAGTGACAGACAGGACCACACCGCCGATCACCAAAGCTAGAGGCTAGAGAGATCAGCATCAGAGTAGTGATGTTAACACCGACCTACAAGACGCACTAACAGTGGTTTCCGGTTGTCCTTTATCCCTATTTCAGTCTTATATACACCCCTGCAGTTTCCATTTTCTTTCAATTATCCCTACATAACCCTAAAGCCACAACCGGGAGTGAAGACGTCACAACCCACTGTCTCCAATCGGCCGCAATCTCAGGGCCAAGCTTAAAGTTTCTATCAATCCTCCTGAATCATCTGGGTTGCTGTTACGGAACTTAAATGAAGTTACCATACTGGGGATAGATTATATTATAAGTAATAGGGTTCCCCAAGAAAGCAACTTAAATTCCTTAACAGCAACCAAATCATAAGGGCCCATAAGATATACTCAAAGCTTGAGGGTTCCTTACATAGACCCATGCCCCGGACTAGCTACTAGGAAGATTCTTGGTATTCTGGCTCCCGTACCACTCGGGCTCAGAAGTGTGGACTTTAAACGGGTGTCCCCGTCCCTATCTCAATCAAGGTTCAGGGTAGTAGAAGCTTTGGGAAGCTCTGGGATTCCCGCGAACATCGGGGAACAGCGATAAGACCAGCAGTGGCAATCAAACAGCAAGTCTGGGTAAAGAAAGCGATGATGATGACAGAACAAGACATCATCTAGCCATAATCAAGGACCGGTAGTTAGGACCGAGGTACGGGCCCATTTTTAGGGACCCATGGTTAGGACCTTCGACATAGGCAATGCGCATCATAAAAAGCCCAGAATGAATAAAACCATCATGCTAGGATGGTTGCATGCCGCAACGATGGCTACTGATGTATAGGCTACTCTTACCATGAAGTGCTGTTACTATCTTTGGGAAATTCCAAGGGACACTCCCAAGGAAGCATTGCCGGTGAAGACGTTCGTGAAGTAGCGAGGCATGCAGGCGAAGTCGAAAGCCAGGTCGAAGTCCCAGGGAGCCGCATGCATCAGCTTCCCTTGACGGACCATCACGTAGTTCCTCAAGCAGTAGGAGGCGTTGCAAAGGAGCGGCGGCAGCAGCAGTAGAAGCAGGGCGTCATGGTGACGTCGCGCGCGCTGTGGTCGTAGCAGCAGCAGCAGCAGCAGCAGCAGCAGCAGCAGCAGCAATGCCGGTACTAGTAGCAGCAGCAGATGATGGTGATGATGATGATGATGATGATGACTGATGATGGTGATAAATGAGTCTGATGATTCGCACGGCTTAGGTTCGGAGAACCCAGTGGCCGGCAGGCGTGGCATCATTATCTTAGTCTTCAGCATCAACATCAGCAGCAGGAGCTATACTCATGCTCATTGTTCAGCTGGAAAGGCCTCAGGAAGTCCTACTGCAAGGTGAAGCCAAGCGTCGAGAAGGCATATCCATCCACATCCTTCGCCAGCTCTTCCACCACAAAATAGCGCACGAAGCTTTGGAAGTCCAGCATATGCAGCAATTCTTCAGGCTTACCTGGCTGCAGAGAGTGGTGGCAAAGGAGAAAAACCGAATAGGATCGATGCTTATATAGCCTATACAGTGCTCGATAATCATCGGTCCTAAGACAAAATTCTGTGCCAGCCACACATAAATCAGAAAAGTAGCAACAGAAACCAGAAAAGCAGCTACATACCCCACCGCCACATAGCCGCCTTCCCTGCTGTCCCTTTGCAATTAAAACCTCAACTCGAAACCGAACACCCCAAATCGTCTGCCTGAGGCTGCCAGGGAGTCCACCGAGTCGATGAGGTTTCGGAGGAATGCCTTTGAATTCGACTCATTGACTCGACTGAAACAAGGCCCCCTTTGGGTGTAGAGTCCAGTGCTTTGGATTCAGGGTTCATGAGTCATGGTTTACGGTTTAGACGTGCAGGTCAGGTGAGGTCACGCTAATTTGCCAAGGCGCGTGGCTGCTGGCTTCGAGAGCACCCACCGGGTACAAAACGCTGAAGAAAGTTTCCGTGACGTTGCTGCGGATGGCTACCTCAAAGTTGAGCGTCCGGGGATGTGTAGGCATGAAACAGGATTCCTCGAGAGATCAGCAAGAGTTTGCTGGGATAACCTCCTACAGTATGACCCCTCTGCTCCACAAACGCGCTTCTCTCCCCCAACAGAAGGAAATCTTGAAATAGATGTGTACGGGTATGTATTCCCATCTATCTTTTCAGAACCCCCACCTTGCCGGCTTTGGCCCAGTCGATTGTCAACAGGAAGTCGGAGGCCTCGGGCCGACCAGGCAGCGTCTGGCAGGAGTCCTGGGTTAATGGCTTCAGGGCTTTGAATGTGTTCTGGGTTTGGATCTGGGATTAGGCTTCAGCCCTCTGGGGTTGGGATTGGGGCAAGGATGAGGCAGGGTTAGGGTTTAGCGCCGTGTGCTTGGGGTCGGATGTAAAGGATTTGGAGCGAAGGGTTCTGGGTTTCGGGCTTCAGGCTTAGGGCCAGGGTTTGGAGTTTAGGGTTTATGGCTTCAGGCTTCGCTTGAAATTCTCCAGGGGCTTCAGCGATGGCGTGGCGTCTTTTCAAGGCTGCTATAAAGAAGCATCCTGCATCCTGCATTTAAGGTACACCTTTCTGGGGCCCCTTCATCTTAAAAACCTACGGCGTGGGCAGATGAGAGTCACTAGAAACGTGTACTGAGACGCGCACAATGAGAGCAACACCGGTGAAGGGCAGGAAGATGGGAGGACACAGGGGGAATGAGGGAGGGAGGGAAACAAGAAACAATCGAAGAAATAAACAGAAACCGCAGGACAGACAAACAGCAAGCGAACGACAAGAAACCACAGGGCGATCGTGGCAAAGAATACGTTCTTGAGGATGAATCTACATAATGATACTATGGTCACTATAGCACCACGGTAACTGCTTTCTCGAAGGCACCAAAGTGCAGAGGCAGCTCAAGATCGTGTAAGGGGCTAGAGGCAAAAGAGGCTCCCGCTGACGGGGTTGCGGGCATGTTGAGGCTTAGGAAGTCGGATCGTTGGCTTGGGATTTCTCAGGAGTATGAGAAAAGCCAACATTGGCGCAAGAACAGCCAACAAAAACCTTGCGCGTCTTGCTCCTACCTATGTTCTTGCACTGTATGTATACGCAGCAAGAACTGAAAGACAAGATGAGCATGTCTCAAGTGTTGGTCACATTGTGTTCCCATCAAATCAACACTCTGCAAACCATCCGCAATTTCAGATACCCGTGTTGTCTCCATAACTCCACAACACCAGAAAATCCAGAAGTTCCACAACAAAACAAAACAGGCCCGCAATATCTTGCATGGAGGAAACCGTGTTGCGCTGACACAGATTCTAGCATGTGAGTTACCGTGTACATGGGATCCTAAGTGGTCAAGATTTCCTCCGTTCACCCTAAACCTGAAATTGTTTAACCCCTAAAATGGAAAACCCACGGAGCGGTAATGCAATGATCCTAAGTAGGGCTGGGTATATATACTAATTACTATGTTACAGGCGGAAAGTCAGGAAATCAGATTTGTGATCATTCACGCCCCCTAGACATTGCTAACAACAGGTGGAGATCAAGACGACCACCTCCGCATTCAACCCGCTCACCTATGTAGTAAAGCCCGTAGTCGACTCCTCAGCCCATTGCTGGAAGTTTCGCTTTTGGGCTTTAGGGCTTGGGATTTTGGACTAAGGACTGGGTCTTTAGGGTTCAGGGTTTGGGACTTCATGCTGGGATTTTTGTGATAAGGGTTTACGCTTGGTGCTTGTGGTTTGAGGGTATATGCGCATTTTAATGCAGAACGTATGGCATTCATGCTACTATGGGTCTTGTACTTGCCATACAGGCCAACCAAAAAAACGCGCGTTTTACCTCCACGAGGCCCTCTAACAACAAACATCTCTTGAGATTCAACATTCCTACATGTAAGCAATGGGGGGGGAGGGCCAAAAGCAAGTTGCCAGGATTGATTGCTGCGGGAGCCGATTAGCACACGCCTGAATAAGCACAAGCGAATAGCGCATGAAAAGCATTATGCAACGATTCTGTCGGATGATTCCTCCTGGTACTGCAGGATACTGCAGGTGCAGCCACTGGCAAGTTCTACACTCGAAGCAAACTGAGGCTGCCGCCATGCCACTCCAAGTTCACGTAGACAGTATCAGTGGCCCAACCCCCGAGCTTACGGTAGACCTCGAAGGCCGTGGGATTTCTCTGGAAAGACACGTCCACAAAGGATGTGGCCAACACCCACCGTCTGGCTGGTGCCATTCCCAGAAGTGGCATCTGCTTCGGCAGCTTCAGAGAGAATTGGTGCTTCGGAAACATGGCCGAAGAATGTCCCCTAGAATGCATGTGCACGTCCTCAATCACATGGTTGTCGATTTCAAGCCTCGAACAAGGCCAGGACATGCTAAGACAGGACTCTCAAGTATGAACCGTTGTCAAGGTGAGGGTTCAGTCACTGAACCATCCTAAACTCTGAATCCTGCAACCCTGTTGAACCCCTACTTCCAAGCCCGCAAAATCCCTTCAGTTCCTAAACCGTCGATCTCAAACTCTGAAAGCCATAATCCCCTCAAACCTTTTTTCACCGAGGTCGCCTCACGGTACCTTTCCAGTGCGTCACGTTTGAGCAGTGTGGCCCCTCGTACAGTTCCGTGCAGACCCGAGGAACCCAGTCCAGCTCCCTGGATGGTGGCTCTGGACCTTACTCTATCCTTAAAGTTCATGGTCCAGGGTTTGAGATGGGCACGCTATAAGAAAGATATGTAGATATACACCATGAGATATGAATGTCGCCTTTGCGGTTTGGTTAAGGGTCTGGGACTGTGGGGCTTTTTCTGCCTGGGCACTCAGGGAATTACGTGGGATCTTTGCAGTCTAGGGATGTTTTTCAGGAGCTGTCAAAACTGCTGGCAAAAGCCCTAGCAAAAAGCCACAGCACGACGAGTAGAATCAGAATGCTGATGCTGACAAGCTGCGCAGAAACAACACTTAGAATAGAACCCATTGTGGCACTAGCATTGGCCGAATGCTACAGGGACATGATGCTAGACTCCCCTGCTGCAGCTGAGGTGGTGACCACCAGAAATTCTCAGGGTGGATATGTATGACCTGTTCGCAGCCCGGATACCCTAACTTGCTAAACCTAGAAAGGAAAACGGGTGCATCAGATCTCTGTTTCGGGCGCGCATGATACCCCAGGAACACAAAGCTTATGAGTGCGAAGTCGTCATAAAATTATAAGGCTACTGCTCGGAGGCCACATGAGCCGAGTAAAGCTGACATCAAGCATGACGTCCCTGTGCTTACCAGCACCAGCCTGCACAGCCCTGTGATGTGCCCAAGCAAGAATCGAAGAAATCAAACGGATCCAATCTGATCTCGTAGTCTACTACTGCGATCAATTATACTACCTCTACAGAGTCCAACAACTCCTTCTCCTGCTCCACTTCCCACTCCTGCTACTACTCAGCCTACAGGTCTAAATACGGCCACTCATGCTCATGAATCCTCCAGCTCGTGGTCCTCCTCCTACTACTCCTGCTACTACTGCCACCACTAACACTCATCACAACTACCACTACCACTACAACTACCACAACACAACAACTACCACAACCACTGCCACTACTACGTTTAGTCCACCGCCACCGACACCGCCCCCACCCCTACCCGCACCCGCACCTCCACCTCCCAACCCCACCCACGCCACTGCCAGTACTACGATGGCAACGACGACCTCGGCGCAAGTCAAGAGCAGGCAAAAATTCATCACAACTTTCATGGCGATTCGTCTTAGCTGTGTTGTAGGTGAGAAACAGCTGGTAGCAGCGAATTCGACAATGCGGCCGAAATGTTTGAATGCCCTGAAGTTCTGAAACAAAGGTGGGCAGAAGTAATGCCTGAGTCGACTACAAGGAAGGGGGCACTAATGAGCATGCCAATGCAATTCTTGCTGCAACAGCACGACTTGTGCATGGACATGCTAACGGTCTGGACATTCAGGCTGTGGATTCACGAAGGTTCTGCCCGTGAAACTGTTCCAATCCGGATAGGTTTGAGCATAGTCGCTGAAAAACATGATGCCTTCACGCATGGACACTGTTTTGCTTTGCGCACGCATGCTGCAAGACAGTGTCAGCATTTCGACATAAACGCTCATGGAAGCGCATGAAAAAGAAAACACTCACACAAGCAAGCATTCAAAAATGGCGCAAAGGTAGAGACTAGTTTGTCAAAGCGACGTGCATGTCTTTCAAACATGCAGGTGGACAATCTAACAAAAACAGAAATGGAATTGCGACAACGGCATGTCGTGTATGAAATGCTGGACGACCATCACCATCAGAGACGCAATGCTTGGGCCCGCCGACGCCGCCGCTGCCACCACCACCACCACCACCACCACCACCACCACCACCACCACCAAGACCTGTGCTATTCTACTACGGCCACTACTTCTCCTCCTCCCAAGTCCCACACCCCAAAGGCTACATCAAACTGCAGCTACAACTGTGGCTGCTGCCGACACGACTAAAGAAAGGCAACTACAAATGCGCCTGGGGTTTGCCAACACCATGGCTGGCGCAGCCTCATGTTGTACAGCCTGCACCAGGGATGATGTGAAGTGATAGCTCGAGATTATGAGGAGAGTATGAGGGCCTCCCTGTGGGTTAAGGGATTGTTGTGCGAAACCCTTCCGAGGGGTAGAGGGGCGCTGAAATGTTTGCGGGCTGGGGTCCTGATTGGAAGTTAGGTTCAGGCTTGTGACTGTAACGTCTCTGCCCTCTTACTCCCTCGGCGTGATGGTTTCCAACCTAGATACCATTCAAATCCAAAGCCTTGAACCATAAGCCCTTAGACTCAAGCCCAAAACTCTTAAGCCTAGTCCACAAACCCTACATAAGCCCCACATCCCTTTCCCTATATGCCCCAAACAGATCTAACTACGAGTACGAGGTGTATCAGCGGTCTAGCCACCAAATCCCACGCAAGCCCCAAATCCAAATCCTCAACCTCAAGCCCTCACCCGCAAAGAAAGCCTGAAAACTCTCGAAGAGCTTTAGAAAGTCCGGCCTCATCCCTGTCAGATTGGCGGCTCAACGCCAAGCCTATGAAGCCCAGAGCTAATGCTAGACCTGCTCGCGCCAGCCTCAGGGTTAAGCATTTGGGGCTTTGGGTGCAGAGTTAAGCGTTTCTGGTTGGGGGTACGGCTTAGGATTTACTGCTCAGGGTTTCAGGTTTGGGCCTTCGGATTCGGGGTTCAAGGTGTAGGGCTTAGGGCTTAGGACTTAGCACTCAATCAAGATTCAAGGCTTCGGGCTTAGCATCGGCGATTTCAAGTTTAATGCCTGCAGCTTTGAGACTTTAGAGTCTAGGGTGTGGGGTTAGGGTCGCATGTTTAAGGTTTGTGGGATTGGGGTTCAAGGGCGCGGGTTCCGGGCTCATGGTTCAGAGTGTACAGTTTGGTGCCGGGATTATAAGACATTTGTGTGCAGAGTGTGGGTCTGGAGCTTTGGAGTTCAAAGGCCTGGCGCCACGTACCAGACTCAAAGACTCTAAACCCCAAACCCACGCATAGCCGAAACCCGCCCAAAATGGAACCCCAATTGTGAGATGCTGGCGTACAGGGCGCGCATGCGCGTACTACGTACGTGAGCATCCTCAGCACTATTCGGCCTTCATTTTTGACCCCCGAACCAGTCTTCTGACAGGGGTCGGAGGTTGTGAGGTCACCCAACGGCTGGGTCGGATTGAGGGTTTGGGTTTGGGTGACCTCATGTAACCTCCTGCCTTAAGCGGTCGCATGTCATTTGAGGCATCAGCAAGGTTTTATACGAGGCATTCTTGCAGTTTGCGCTTGTATTCACAAGGCATTTCATTTTGTTCACAGCAATTCGTTTGATTTGGTTTTGTGGGCGGACTTTGACGAATGCATGATCCACGTGCGTCGTACCCTCAACTAACAAGACATAGGTGCCCAAGAGGCATGCCCCAAATCTGAGGATTCCTCCTGTGACACACTGGGAGATGCGGACAACTAAGAACCAGCATAAGCAAACCATTCTTAGATGATCCTCATGAATACCCTAACCGCTGCCTCCATACCTGACTTATCACCTGACAGAATCCCTGCACTTCGTTTCTGCTGATTACTGAACCACAACGATACCAAAGTGGCACGGTCTCATAAGAGGGGCAAGAACAGGATACCCTGCCTCGGCAAGCGGCTGCCCCAAGTAGCTCCTGGCGCGCCCAACTCCACTCTGGACGTCGAAGCTTCCGAGCAGTCACGGTCCAGCAACGGGTCAGACGTAGACATGGGGGTTTCTCAGCACAGGAGGCCCTCAAGGGACACTGAGGATAACAGATTATTACTGGGTGCCCTAGCGCGGATTATGCAGTGGAGGTTCTGAGAAATCCCAGCATCTCAGGCAATGACCGCGTTGTGCGAAAGCTCTATGAATACTCGGTGGGTCCCAGATTCTGGAGCACTGTATTGGCTACAACCAACTACAAGCATGTGCCACAGAATCTAACATTCATCAAAGCTTTCGCGGCAGTGCTTTAGCTTGGGGGAGCTGCTTGGATGGCAGGGCCAATTGTTTCCCGCACTTCACCCCTGTCTAGTCTCTGCGTCTCTCCATGATTTGTTCAGCCGAACCTCAACGGCTGCAGCACTAGTAGCAGGATGCAGTGATGGCAGCGTCTCAGGGAATCGGCCTGACATTGCCATCCTGCAACAGCCTCTTTCAATTCGGTGGTCACGCTGTCAGCAAACGCGACTGAAGCTGCAGACATGCTATTTCGGGACAACTTTTGGCATCTTCACGGCGACTTGGGTCAACTTTGGTCAGGTGATTCGAGAACTCCTTCACGGCACCCCGGTAAGTCCTGCGTGATCAGCTGCACAGACTTCTAGCTACTTGGATTAGTATGTGCTGGACAACGTCCAGACTGATTCAACAGCCTTCTCCGTCACAGCAAAGGAGAAGTCATCATATCCACCATAACAACCAGGGGAGCGACAGCAATCCTAAGAATGACAACGAAAAGAAATCGCAACGGTAGGCTTAACAAAATTCAAAAGCCAGCACCCAGATCAATCTGAATGTGTTTTGGAAGCTGACAGTTTCTGAAGGATCACTTTGGGGGGTACCTACTGTCCGGGTGCGGGAGACTCCTGCTTTGAAGACATTTCCAATTGTCATAATTGCGTCCTAATCCCCAAATAGCCGAAATGCGAAACCCTCAATCTTCATACCCCCTACATCCCGAAATCGTGCAAATACCCCACCCATGAATACCCTGAACCACGAATCCCTTCATCCTCCGATGCGGAAGCCCAGTAGACTCGCAAAAGCGCTTCAGAGCCGCAAAAACATCAAGGCACGGTGCGGACCGGCGGCCTCTAGGATTCAATTGATTTGTTCGTTTAGGGTGTTGTAGGGGGCTTGAAGCTTAGGAGTTGGGAGTTTAGGTTTAAGGTTTCTGCGTTGGGATTCAAAGGTTAAGGCTAAGGGCTTGGAGCTTCAAGGTTTCCCTAGATTTGAGGATTCCGGTTGGCGTTTGGAGTCTTGAGCTTAGGGTTCCGGAATGGTTTTGTAGGGCTAGGGTGCAAGCTTTGAAGTTAGGGTTGTTCGAGTTGAGAGTCATGCAGGGCTGAGGGCTTCAGAGCCTGGGGGCTTAGAGTTTCTTGGTGTGGATGTGAGCTCTACAGCTTGGCGTGCAGGGCCAAGGCGTTGGGTGCACAGCTTTCGGTTCTGGGAGCTAGGGTCAAAGGGATTTGGGGCTTCCGGCTTGTGATGATAGGAGCAGTGACTGTTGAACAGAAAACACAATAGAAATTAGTGATTTGAAAGATCCAATCAGAGGTTTGAGTAATTGCTGATACTAGGAACAATGCCAGAAATCATCTTGATGAAAGTACCAATGGCGAAAAAATCATTAGTTGTCACGTCTTTCAAGGCCTCCCTGTGCAAGTGTCTGCCGTGGGGTCCTCGAATCAGTAGTGCAAATCCGCAGATTCAACGCCTGTGTTGCCTGCAACTTAGTTGGGCGCCTCTCTCTTGGGGTATCTTGAAGCACAGTCAACCCGGTGGGAACTCAAATGAGCGCCTTTCTGAACATTCCGATCGGAGTCCGGGCCCAAAGACACGATACTCCCCGTAGATGCACAGGCTCCTCACTCAAGAGCACCCCAGAACCTACACTCTGAACCCGAAACTGCCAAGCCAAATTCCTCAACCCCCAGGTTTTACAACAATGAAACTATTAGCTTGACTTTAGTTCCCTACTGTTGATGGACAGAAAGTCCTGCACGACCAACTGCATACTATAGGCTATAGCGTCATATCTTCAAGGTTATAATCTCCACAGGAACATTTTTGCACATCAACCTTACATTTTGCCAAGTGGCGGATCCAACCGTGCGCCAGTAGGTGACCACGAACCAAGTCTTCAGTCAAGCTTCCATCATCAAACAGGACAAGGCTCTCAGGGCATCGAATGGATGATTTCGGAGCCATTGTTTATGGTTTCGGCTTCTTGGCGGCATGGCGCAAAAAATCTCCAACCTTCCTATGAAATAGTCCCCTGGGCAGCACAACCCCCTCCCCCAACCCCCTCGCCCCCCTCAACAGGAAATGTCCCGTGCCACGAGATGATGGCGTGAACATGTAAATCCTGAGCGGGAGCAGGATATGTTGTACTGAGATGTACTAGGCATGATTGCTTTGTGCAAAATGTCGGGGCAGTCCTGTCAAGATGGAGACCAAAAGCCTGAGTTAGTATGTTGCCTATTTTCCATGTGCAGGAGCATTGTATGGATCAATTTCGTCGCCCAGAGTGTCGACATTCTGAGATCCATAGCACTTGGCTTTCAGATGGGAATTCCTCCCAAAGTAAGGACACCTTGAACCCTTTTGCAATCCTCAATATCCATCCCTGCATGGGGTCCCTGAGGCCCCCGTTTTGAGAAATACCCAGGTTGCAGCTTCCCTTTGCAGCTCCGTGGCCATCGCTGGGCGCCAGCTGCCACTCGCCATGCAGCTTGGGTGAGACCAGGGCCGCGTGCAACAGAGCTTGCTTTGTGTGGACCTGGGTGCGAAGAAGCCAAGCTATTTGTGCCAAGAATCATTTCTCAACCCCGAAAATATCCTCTAAAATTCTGGGCAGCATCATTTGTTGAATCGGGGCCCCCTTGCACCCAAGACACTCTAATCTGCTATACAGGACCCCCAAATTTAACAAACCTCCATTTATGCAGAATTGTCTGGGATGCTGGCTGGGTAGTCCGGTTTGATGGAGACGCCACTCGCGGCCAGTACTTTGCTGTTGCCTTTCCTTAAGGCAGGCTCAAAGAATTCAATGTGGCGGTCGTACCACGTAGTGCGCGCCATGTATGGGGATTTCCAAAAACAGGATCTCCGACATAGACCCGTACAAGCTATATCGTCTTTGATTGCTATCGGGACTCCTGCACAGGGGCCGCTAGGCCACTTTGCAACAGGTTTTTGAATCTCCTAGGGATTGCAGAGGCAGCTCTAAGAATCATGGGCTCCCCTTGGTGTGCTTGCAGCGACATTAAAACGCTTAGGATTTATGGGGCACCAATTTCAACCCCACGAGGCTTGGTCTGTTTCAGCGGATGCAACATGATGGAACCTTATGTCCGAACGCACTTATGATCCCAGGCTAGCTGCATGTCTGCGAACACATCGATCGCCTCGCTCAAGTCCTGGCCCAGAGTTCCCTGCAGTGAACCCGAAACCTGAACAACTACCATCTTGAATCACATCAAAATCCTCTCGCCACCGTCTTGTCGCCATATGGTTTGCCCACAACCTGCCTCGTTTAGCTCGTCATCGAAATACCCGAGCTGATGCAGGACCTCCCAGGCATGCCAGCAAACATGAATGAGACATGAAACTAGACTTCAAATCTCGAGGAAGACATGACCATCTAGCAAGCCTCGAAAACAGAAACAACTTCACCCTCCCTCGGCTTGCTTAGAATGCAGGACTGGGCGGGTTTGTGCGAAGTGTAAAGACTCCTACAGGCTCAAGCATCTCAGGAAATGACACAAAAATCTTGAGTTGAGATACACCGCCTTGTCCTGAGATCTGGCGATGTAGGCATGAGGAGCATCAGTTCACAGCAGACTGTTAAGGCTTGACACTCAGTGATAGGATGCTTGGTGACAGGAGCCACAAGGGTGCCTAGATGAAACTTCGCACCTGAGACATGCCATGCTGACGCACTGCAATCACCGAAAGACTCTGAAGCCTTCAAACTACTCTCCATGGGAAGCACGAGCGGAGTTGCCGGCATGAGAGTCTGCGGAGTCCTGTGTAAACTTGGTCCCTACCCACGCCTTCATTTCCTACTAGAAGCCTGCAGAGCTGTAGACAGCTGATCACTTGCAACAAACATGGTAGCATGGTAGCATGCTCTGGCGCAGACCCCAACCAGGAAACTTGCACAGACTTTTGGAAACTCCCCATGCACCCCAAGGCCTAACACCCGCTGAACCCGTCAACCCCCAGACAGTAAACCGCCTACCCCTGAGCCTGAAGTCTTCAGTCCTTAAAAGTTGCGAAGGCTGCGCAGGCCTCCGGCACCAAATTTACGGAGTCCACAAACAGCCTCGCGCCCCCTCCGCGGATGAACTCGACGCCTTTTAAAGAGCCGCATGCCTTTGGATGAAAGAAGGGGCAGGGTGGGGGAGAAGATTCATAGCAGGTTAGTAACACGAGTAATGAAGCTCTGCACCTGGGTTGGAATGAACTGAGTATACATGCTAGCCACTCCCGGTTCACTGTTTACCAACAAAAGCCATAGTCCTGAGTAATCTTAAGTAGCTGAAATCCTCCGAAGCCATGTACTCCGTGATCCCTGATGCAGGCCTCAAGAAAGCGCTAGGGCAATTTCAAGAGTGACCTTGGGGATTCTCGGCGCAGCTGGGCTCGAAAGGGGACTAGAGGATCCTGGCTTCTGACAAGTACCCCATCTGTTACGGCAACTATGACAGATTCCGTTATTCTCACAGCCACTATTGTCCTTGTTACTTGTTCTGGCCCTGACCCACTCTAACTGTAACATGCTTCATGTTGCCCACAACACCCAGCAAGTCTACCGATGACGCTTCGCATTTCACAGAGCAGAGTGTGCGTTTAACGCCTGGCTGCTTAATCAGACTGTTCAAGCTCACCCCCAACCCGCGAGCCTTCGGCCCCTGAATTTCCTGTTCAACCTGAAACGATTCCGTGGAGGTCTCTGCAGTGCTCCTGGAAATACTAATTTTGAGGCCCCCGAATTTCCTGCGGACTTTGCACCTCAAGCCACTTCTTCGTCGCAACCTGGCTGCCCACTGCATGTATCCAAGTGGGCATAGCAAAGGGCTTTCAGAATGAATGCTGGTGTTCCCTGTGGTCCTTTAGGTCTTTCCTGTATTGCCACTCATAAGAGGCAAGCAAAGCACTGTGAAGGGCGAAGAGGGATCAAAGGCGCAACAGGACCTAATAATGGATTGTTGGAACACTACGGGCCTAAATGAAAGAGGTTTTGGGGTGGATAAAATTATGCAGATTCCACTGTAACACTTCAACTATACAAGGGGCGTGAAGGAACCAACTTGAGTGCTTCGCCAGCTCCTTTCTCAACAGGACAGAATGCGTTGGCATGTATATAGGCAGGTTTGATGTGGATGCTTCTCAAAACGAACCGCGGATACTCCCATGCATAAGCCCTATGCATCCGCATATCCCCACCACATGTCGAGAAGCCCCAGCATTGGAACTGAAACAAGTTCCTGTGGGATGCCGGTTGTCGGCACTCAACACGGACGGCTGCTTGCATCTTTGAAAGGGTACAGTCAAGGTAGAAGTATGGATGAACAAGAAGAATGCAAGTCAGTAGAAACCGCAAGCATTTGTATAAGCGAATAAAAACTGGCATCCTCAAGATTAAGCGAGCCTCACCCACAAGCGGCCCCTCTTCTGCACCCCTCGTAGGCGTCCTTCAAATGCTACACACCTTCCCAACCTCCGGAGACCCAGTAAAACATTGTGAGAGCCTGACCCTGTCCAGCCTTGTCCAACAAGGCCCAGCTACATCAACTCCGTGAAAGCAGGTTAAAAAGGACATTCGCGTTTGGGCGCCACTTCTCGGATGCCATGTGGAGATCTGGGGATGGTAGGCGCCGCTGTCAAGTTTGATAAATTGAAACTCCCATGTTCCATGCTGACTGTATGGTCGGCGCCGGCCTGGGTGCCGCAGGGTAACACAAAGACCCAGCGCGGGATGTGTTTCTCCCAGGAACTGCCACTCGCGAACATCTCCTGGCAATCGGTTTGAGCTCTACTCCATTTCCGGCTTGGGGCTTACCATTTAGGATTGAGGCCTTATGAGGATTTAGTCCAGCTGGGGCAACCTTGCAAATATGCCGACTGCTGCAGGCATGCTACATTGGATTTCTGACTGCCACATTCCCGCAAGATTGATACTCGGTACATTTATGACGGTTCTATAGGATTCAAGACATGGGCAGAGATGAGGTATAGTGTTCAATTTTTCCTTCCTTCACATGGAGACATGGGAACGTGGATTTAAAATACAATGTGAAAGAAACATTCAAAACATGATGCAGGTTTCCCAGAAAAAACAGCTTGAAAAAACGCGGGAAGTGCACCAAGAACGTGACCCTTCAAGACACATGGTTGGTTTCCGTGTGCTTTCCGCCTATTTGACGTGTGCCTTACATTTGTTCTTCTTCGTGGCTTCAGGTTGCCCACGTTACTCTGCCATGTTTTCACTTTTTCATGCTTGTGCACGTGAAAAGGAACACACAAATTCGTGTGAAGGTATCGATTTCGCACCCATGTGTGTCACCTCTATCCGCATGCCCCCACCTTTTCGCTTGAAAGACAATTTTTAGTACACAACTACACCTAACTTCTGTAAACGAAAAAAATGCCTCACTTGTAGGAGCCATGCGGAGATGGATTTTGGGATTCTCAAAGGTGTATGTAGATCTGTCGTCGTATTCTGGGATTTGGGGTTGGGTTTTCCGGCTCCTTGGACAATGGGTGGCTTCAACCCAAAAAGGGACTCAGGGGCGCCAAAAAGTATTTTAAAGCGTCCTCACCTAAGGACCCCAGGGACTAGAAAATCCAAAAAGTTTGCTCTGCTTTCGACTTGAAGGGCTTGTGATCAGGTCATTCCTGCAGGGTGTTCACGGCTTCTCTGGCTTCTTGAGGGATTGGAAATGTGAAGGGTCTCAGGCTAGGACTTACTTAGCACTACAGGTTCCGTTTTGGGGCTATTTAGGTCCCTCGACACACACCCTAAAGGCTGCTACTGAACTGCAATATTGGATATCTCACACAGGTTGCTAGCTGCCGGTGTCAGGAACGAACCTCATCTAAGGAGAGCACGCCTTTGACGAGCACTGGCATCCAAGGGCCCTATCCTAGGTCGGGATCTCTGATTGGTTGACTTGGAACGAACAAGAAAGCTCATGGGTGTATAGATTCAAGCTGCCGCCAGTGACGGCAGGCAATAAACACCAATCTGTTGGAAGCTGCGCAACACGTTGCCCTTGATGTGGTGACTCTGGCTGGGCATAACAAGGCTGAATGTCAGAAAGGCCCTCGAACCCCAACAGGTGATTCTGAGCCTGGAACCTACACCCCAAGCCCTTAACCCTCGAAGCCCTACAGCCTAGCCTTGCAAAGCCCAATCCCTACATTCTGGACACTAATCTATAAAGCGAAAAACCCTTGTCTTGATGCTTCGGGGGGAATGGAGAATGGATGAAAGAGATTGGCATCGTGGATTCTATAAGGACCACTATTGGGGTTCATTCCCTCATTCCTTGCTGGGCAGCAGCTAGTGAGCCCGAAATTAAACTCCCCCTCAACCCTAAACTCTGAGTCCTAAACTCCGAGCCCCAAGCCCCAAGCCCCAAGTCCCAAACCCCCCAGCAGTGCACCACTAAGGGCCTGCACCGCCTCCGCGAAGGCCAGGCGCTTGGGCCAGGCAGTGAAGGCCTTACCCATGCTTAGCTGGCAATGTCGGACCGGAAAAATGAAACCGGAAACTATTGATTTTGGGTTTAGGGGCAAGGGCTAAGTTGGAAGCGGGGAATGGATTACCATGATTGGAGGGCTCAAGTGACGACTGCGTGTATCGTTTCCCCAGTTCCGAACTAAATACATAACAATAACAAAGGGGACGATGAGGGCTTAGGATTGGGGTTCAGGCAGGTCCAGTTCTCCTTGCCTTGAAGATGCTGAGGCGGGACACCTGCAACTGGTTGTCCGGGACGACTTGAAGCAGTAGATTCTCAAAATCAGCTGATGTTTCTTCGATTCATTCGGATGGGGCACGTCAAACCACATTACACGGCTTGCTGATCCCTGGTATAGTAACCTCCAAGGTTCAAGATCTGGAGGTTCTTCTTCAGTTTATGTAGCACATAAACTATCTAGCAAAGAAAAGGATTCAATCACATGTCATTTTTGCTTCCGTGTTGGGCTGAGTTCTCAATGGTCAAGACATGGAAGCTGTCAAATGACTCCGCACCTCAAATTTTCTCCTGGGCCATTCATGAGTAAGTGGAAAAGAAGATGGAGGCTGTTGGCTATCGGCCCTGCCTTCCCAAGCGTTGCGAAGAGCTTTGCCACGGCAGGCAGGAGAGGCTGATCCTTGAGTGCTGGTCGCTTTGCCACGTAAACCGGTACCTAGCAAATTTCCCTCACATGTAGATTGGGCTTTCAAGTTTATGGCTTAGAGCCTTACGCTGAGGCAAACCTTTCGGGGCCCTATTTTTGGAAGCTACCCCATGAACCTCAGAGTGCGCAAGCTGCAGTAGCAAGCCCAAGCACAATGTGTATGTAGATTCCCGTCTTACACCAAGATTTAAGCAAACCACCATTCAAAAATCTTACTGAGCCAGTATACAAAAGGCTTGCAGGGTTCAGGTGCCCCGAGTTAGATTGAAAAAGTCCTGCCTTCCGACCCGCTTGTAAACGGCCCATTAACCTGCAAGTGGTCAAAACTCAGCCCCGCGGCCGCAGTCTCCAAGTACTTCAGTTCACAAAGTCGCTCCCTGAGTCTGTCTAGAAGAACTGTGTCCACCTGAGGAGCTTTTCGCTGGGGAGTGCAGGTTGTATAGCGTCGCGAAACACAAAATACAAATCCTGGTTGGAAATCTGCGCATGTTGAACGGATTTTGATTGCATGTGAGGCTTGAGTGCATGACGACGAATGGGTTCTGTTGGGATGTAACACATGCAGGATTCACATTCTGGTTTAGGGGTATTGTCTATGCGGAATACGAAGAATACGACGATCCGTAGTACAGAACAGTGAAAGCTAGAAGGATGCACGGAGGCTACATATGGGCATCCCAACACATGCCTGAATCGCACGATGGCAGAGGAGCGCCATAGCTTCTGTGCTAAGGAACTGCATGAATCAGACCAAGAGCTAAAACAAGAAAGGAGACATGCCGAGGGTTAGAGACTCGCTTGTCCTAAATCCCTAAACCCTCCTGACTGTGCGGTCGCCTGGTCAGCAGCGCCAAACTGCTCGGGGTCCAGGTCCTCAATGCGGCTGACCCCGGTCGGCTGCCTGGGTGAGAGAGCCAAATGTGCATCATGCATGCGTTAGCCTGCGATTGCAAGGGGTCCTTCCACTACTTCCAAGGCTCTGGGAAACTCCTACTTAACATCTAGATCTACTGGCAGGGGAAAAATGTTGTATGTACAGACTCGCGCTGATCCACATAGTCTGCAGCACGTTGCGCTGCATGATTTCAAGGATCTCCACCGCAAATCTCGGCCGAAATTCTCGCAAGAAACGCTTCGGCTTTGCGGTTTGCAACGCAGGTATTCTGGTACACCACGCCAAAAACCAGCCCAGAATGGTCTGACTAAGCTTCAATGAGGGGAACTCGTAATCATGTAGCCTCTCGGTGTTGTGCAAGGAATTCATTTACGGGCCACAAGTGTCGCTCCATGGGCTGAAGAACAGAACTGCTGGCTCGGTGCAGAACAATCTTCTTGGTGGGGCAGCGCTCCAGGCCGTCCATCTGAAACCTTTCCACCTCGAGTTATCTCACGGGGTTGATATGGGCCCGCGTGAAAGGAGCTCCCCCAAAGACTAACCGGCAAGAGATGCCGTGACATGTTGCTCCTGTGAACGTGTAAACACAAAACATACTTGGAGAGCCAGGAGGGCTTAGCAAGCAGGTCAATAAATGAAACTGGGAATATTGAATGTTTGAAATCACTTAGTCCCTAAACCATCCTAAGTAATGGGCTGGATGAACCTTAAACATTCCTCCGACCAATTACATCATCCCTTGGCCATGGTCGGTAACGTCAAAATGGCAGATAGTCATAATATGTCATAATCTCAGCCTTTGCATCTGTCTGAAAAGCATTCACCTGACATACCCACAAAAACAAGAATAACAATGATGATAGTAATCACACTAATCAATCATAGAGCTTTTTGTCCTCTCTCATTGCGACGCCAACAAAGAACCACAGAGAAATCCAGATTTCCCACCAGCTCATCCGAATTAGAAGCAGGAAGTCCGAAACGCTGAACCCCTCAAACCTTAAACTTCTCGACCTCTTATTCCTCGCACCCTGAAACCCTCAAACTTACCTAAAACCCCCCAGCCCCTGAACCCCTCAAGCCTCTTAAAACCCCCTAGGCCTCTGCCACCGACGCGAAGGCCCTGGAGACCCCCGGCGCCACTGCGGTGGGCAGCAAGGCCAGGGTGCAAATCCCCTGGCCCTGGAGCTGTTCCTTGGGATTTGGCTCTTGGCATAATGGAAATTAAAATGGAAACTACTATAATGTCGGGGTTATTTAGGTGTTATGTAGGGATAATGGAAAAGAAAATGGCAACTACTATTTAGGGTTTAGAGTTCAGGGTTTAGGATTTGGGGGCTAGTAGTCTAGGGTCTAGGGAGCCAATAGGAGGAATGTGGTTTGTATGGGTGCAGATTCCTAGGCCCTTCAGCTTTTCCGCATGAGGCGAATCACAGCTCCCCAAGTTTAACCGTGTCCCTTGATTTGATTCTGGGATTCTATGCAAAGCAAATATCAGGAATATGCTGGGATGTAGAAACAAGCGTCGTGGGGCTTGTGGGATGGACCTGATTCTATAGGTCTTCTTGGGATCTTCATAGTGGGGACTGCAGCATGTAAAAAAAAAAATTGAACTTGCGG